CACCCATGTGCAGTGTGGGTGTGCTCCAGGCTCCACTTGCTGCCATTGAAGCTGCATGGGCCTTAACGATAGGTGTCCCCTTCTGTCACTGTTAGCACTTGTATACGTATGCATGAAGAGTATGCACTGAACACCTGGAGTCCTTTTTTGGGTCCTCAAGTACAAGAAATAGCAGGAGGTAGTTCACTGGAGGACCACCAAGGTGATGGGCCTGGAGCACCTCTGCTGTGAGGAGAGATTGAGAGCTGGGCCTGCTCAGCCAGGAGGAGACTCAGGGGTATCTTATCAACATATATAAATATCTGGATGGGCAGTGCAGTAAAAACAAAGCAAGGATCTTCCATTGGTGTCCAATGCCGGGACAAGAGGCCCGTGAGACATAGGAGGCTCCCCTTGAACACCAGTCAGTACTTATGTGCTGTGTGGGTACCTGAGCACTGGCCGAGAGGTTGTGGTCTCTCCTTGGAGATCAGCCACCATGGTTGTTGGCACCCTGCTCTGGATATCTCTGCTTGAGCAGGAGTTGGGCCGGATCCCTCTTGAACTCTTCACTCTGGGGACTAGAGCTAAATGAGAAGGTAGGACAGGCTGTGGTTATTGGCATCCCGTGAGCCCTATGCTGCTCTCAGCCAGTGACCACTGTCCTGTCATTGTCTTGATCAAATGCTAACTGAAATAGCTCATAGTGAAGTTGGTGTGGAGAAGCAGAAGAATCTTATCTGTTTTCTTCCTTTCTTCATGTGAAACGTAGTTTGGTGTACTCTTAGTGAACCTCTATGTTGTAAACAGGATGAGCCCCTTTTCAGGGTCATCACAGCATCAACGTGGCAATCATCCTTGCTGGGGTAGCAGTGTGAAGGTCAATGGCAATAAAAAGGCTTCTAAGCTTTGAGAGCGTTGTTCTTATTTTTCAGTGGCTGGACAGAGCTCATAATGGAAGTACTTGGCAAGGTGTATGAGACTTTTCATACACATAAATATGGAAAAGGGTACTGTGTCAGCTTGGTTTTTTTGGCTCCCTTTGCTTTTCTGTGGATGCGGGAAGCCCTTTGGGAAATCTGAGTTGCAGTACAGTCATAAGTGGAGCAGAGATAGGAGAAAAAAATCTAAATAGGTTTTAATTTTAGGATATACAGTGTTTTATAAGCTAGACTGTTTCTCAGAACCAATTTTGAAATTGAAAATGTGGGTTGTTTGTTGGTTGTTTTTTTTTTGTCAAATAGTATGTTTTTGTAAAAGGCTTTGCTGGAATGTTGTTTTTTCTACTGCAGATATTAACCTTACGTTATCCACAAGAAGTTGATGGACAGAGGAGAGCTTTAACTGTGAAAGCTACTCATTTTCTGAATTTTTTTATTGGACTCAGTGTCTACCTGCCATTGGTCACCCCACTATCAAGACAGAGGGTTAAAGAATTAACTTGTGTAAATGAGGTAGAGTTTCTTTCTCAGATGAATAAATACGACTCCAATGAACGTATTCTTATTTCCTTCTTTTCATAGAGATTTTCCTCTGGCAAAATGGAATGTTTCCATGGACACTGTTTAAGACCAATAAGAAAAAACATCACTGTGCATTCAGATTCCAGCTTTGAGACAAGTATGGAAATATTGAGTGAAAATGTGAATAGGAGACCCTTTGGAAGGTACTGTATTTATATGCACTTAATCTGTGTTCAGCGTATAGTGAAAAACAAGAGGGCAAGCACACCTAGTGAGTCTTGTAATGATAAGTCTACAGGTAAGAATCTGTAGAGCTCTCTGGGTATGTTAATATCACTGTCAGTAATTTGAGGCAGAAGGAAAGTCTTCTGCTTGTCCAAAAACTATGCATCCTTTCCCAGCTTTTTGGAGGTCTCTCTTCCACTTTGGTTCATGAGATATAGTTCATATTTTGAGATTTCAAGATGAGCACGTGTAGTGGCAATGCTAAGTCACAGCCTGAACCAGTGATTGAGCTCCTGATGGGAAGGCAGGGCCAACCCAGGGGGACTCAGCTGTGTGCAGTGTAGCTGAGTGACCAGAAGGGGTGGAACCAGGATCCAGCCCTTCCCAGACCTCATTGAAGGGTTGGCAGTGGAGGCAAGGATATCTCACTGGAGATCCCTTTGTACCTGAGGCTTTCCAGAGGTAGGCAGCTTTATTTCCTTCATGTTTGTGTCCACAGTTGCTGCGTTGGGGCTTGTTCTCATTTGCTGTAGCCAAAGAATTTGCCATCCTGATATTATTGCTGTACTTTCTATCCCGTTATAGCATTACAGCACGTTAGGAAGTGTATGTTTGTATAGAACTGTGAGCATGTGTTACGTGACAGATTTGGGGTCTGAATCCTGCATGTAGATTAAAGGCTTTTCTTTGTGTACTGGATTATAAAGGTGGTGAAGTTCCCAATTCTTAATGGGGCTGATACAGTAACTTTTTTCTCCCTACTTTATTCTCTCTTAATGTAGGCAATTGACAAAGACAAAATCTGACCTGAAAAAAAGAAGAATATAAGGAAGGTAAGCAGTTGTAATTCACTAGGATTCTTATCTGAATTGTTCACTTTGTCTATTTCACTTGGCCCCAGAACTTTTGAAACTCATCAGCCAAAATTAATATGTTTCAAAGACAATGAATTTCCTATAGGCTTTATGTAAATAGGAAGATATTCTTCCTGGGCTTTCAAGGAATTAATAGAATGCAGCACGAATTCCAGCTAGTTCTTAAGCATTGAGGAATCTGATCCTTACCTCGGGTTTCTCTTTTGCATGGGGTTTCTGTAGTCTGCAGGACACAAAATAATGGACAATTGTTCTGGCAAATAGGTGGGACTACTACAGTATTACAATATATCTAATTTAAAGAGCAGTTTGGTCAGGAGATGCACAAATCCACTGATGGTTGGAAGGTTTCACTGACGTTCATGGGTTTGACTTAGAACCAAACTGCAGAGCTGAAGGAAGCAGCACTTGGTGCAGAGAGATCACTTTCTGACACCTGGCAAAATCCGCTAGATCTGTGCAGTGTCCTACCAGCTATTGGCTAAAGCAGAGCAAGTGCCTGAAATGGAGCATTTCACATGCTGTTGTTCATGTGCTGATTGTAAAAGCATGTTATTTAGCAGGTCCACACTTGTCAATGCTAACTATGAAACTAAGATCAAGGCATAGCTGTCATCATACTAAGACTGTGGTGTAGCTGTTACCTTCCCAGTGTCCTCTGGTCAATATTTCAATGGCAGTGCAAGTAACAAACTTGTGAAAAAGGATGTACTATGTTAAATGCTAGGCAGGCTTTCAAAGAAAGCAGGAGCTGGAGTTTTCCAGCATTTGGATGTATATCTTGAAGTAGTTCTTATTTATATTATTACATAACAGTTCTTAAGCTGTTGTGTCATGATGTAGAAAGCAAAAATGATTCATGCTTACACAGGGTCATGAAACACTTGCATCCTAAGAAAAGGCTTGCCTTTTTTTTTTTTTTTAACAATTTTTTTTAATGCTGTTAGATACTTAGATACATTTTAGATGGATGGAGCAAAACACTTTGGAGAAATATTTGTAGTTTTCTCTACTGGAAGTTTCAGTAATAAAGTTTTTGTACAGGTCATCCTTTTAAGTAGACTTCGTGTTCCAAACAAGCACTAAGCAGAGTGCTGTGCTCATGACAAAAACTTCTGTATTTAAAGAAAAAAATCCACTTCAGGTTTTCTGTTTGCTTGCTTTTACATTTTAGAAGAACAATGATGAAAGAAGGGGAATCGCATCTTTACTGTCTCAAAATATTTCACATATTTACTGTATTTCAGTCACAAGGACACTGAAAATGAGAGCTGATGCAAAAGCTGTCAAACAAATCCATGAAGAAAATGGGGATCTGGAGGTCCGACGAAGCCGTTACGCTGCTACAAATCAGTCTATTCTCTTTGATGCACTTATAACAAAGTAAGTGTTCTTTCCTTGCTGACCTGCTAAATGAGCCTTATTAGCAGGCTTTCATGCCATGACACAGTACTGCCTATGGACTTTGTCTTTCTCTTGACAACAGAGAGTGGTATGGGATGAGGAATCTTCATGCTCTTAGTGCCTTTTGCATGTGGGTTCCATGCCTTTCTGTGTTGTCTTCTGACCAAAAATGGTAGCTTTACATTGCAATTTTCCTTAGATTTAACATACTGTTTTCAGTAGTTTTCTTAGTATCAGATGTCTTCATTTCTAGCAAACTTTTATACTTA